TGCAAACATGGATTTTGAAGGAGCTGCAGAACACTGAGCGGAGCATTGATGAGTTAAAACGGACATGGATTGAGACTAGTGTTTCCATAATGTCAGATGGATGGTCTGACATGAGGAGCAGGAGCTTAATTAACATCCTTGTTAATAATCCCTACGGTACAGTATTTTTACGATCAGTTGAAGCTTCAGATGAGGTTAAAAATGTTGCATTCATTTTCAATTTACTAGATAGGGTGATTGAGGAGCAATTGGTTTTTTAGGTGGTGACTGACAATGCCAGTGCATATAAAGTAGCTGGTCAGATGTTGATGGAGAAGAGGAAATCATTCGCCCTGCAACTACTAGGTATGTTATTACATTTGTGCACTGCAAATCATTATCAATTTCTAATGCAAGTTTATTCTACAGATTTGCCACATCTTATTTGACACTGCAGAGCCTGTTGGATGTGAGACAACCTCTTGAAGCAATGTTTACATAAACAGAATGGCTTAACTCTGCGTGGGGGAAGAAAACTGAGGGGAAGGAAATAAGAAAGATAATTCTAAATAATAAATTTTGGTCTATTGTGACCTATGTCATATTGAGCACGAGACCCTTAGTGCAAGTTCTACGTTCAGTGGATGCCGAGAAGAAACCAGCCATGGATTTTATTTATAATGCTATGGATGAGGCAAAGGAGTTGTTGCACATAACTTGGGAGGAGAGGAGGTAAGTTATATAAAGATTTGGGATATCATTGATGCTCGGTGGGAGGTACAGTTACACTGTCATCTACATGCAGCAACATATTATCTCAATCCTTAATTTCAATATTCAGAGTGAAAATCATCAAACCTGGAGGTGAAGCTTGGCTTGTATCATTGCATGGAATGATTAATATCGGAGCAGACAGATAGGGAGCTTGCAGATTTACAACTTATTTTTTTTCGGAATAAGGAGGATTTTTTTGGTCTGCATGCAGCAAAATTAACTATTGCCAAACGGTCTCCAGGTATACTTATTTTGGTAAATGCAAAACACTTTATTATGTTATGATTATCATTTTTCTTCTTAAAAACAATTGAATGATGGATCCAATTTGGTGATTCCACTCCTGAGTTACATAGTTTTGTTATTAGAGTTTTGGGACTCACTTGTTCTTCTTCTGGGTGTGAGCGAAACTAGAGTACATATAATCAAGTACAAACAAAGAGAAAAAATCTTCTATCAACACTCATAATGAACTCCCTTGTATATATTATGCACAATAAGAGATTAGGATATAGGAGGTTGAGGAATAAGGGGTTGAAGGATGATGAAGACCTATTGGTGTGTGATGATGTGTCATCTGATAATGAGTGGTTCATAGATGATGAGACAGATTTGCCATTATCAGACTTACAGCTAGAGGATTTAAGTGTGGTTGTCTTGAGGGGCGAAACAGATCAAGTGGGCACATCCACTAGTATCACACCGCATACATCCACTAGCTCTGCAGCACAACAATCAAATAAAGGTATTCCACAACTTATATGCTATTGCATTATATTTATATCAAGTGAGCAATTAACATGATAATGATCATTCTTATTGAACAAGGAAGAGAAAAGCGAGTCAAATTGAAGATGATGAAGATATGATATTCATAGATACAATTGGAGAAGAAGATTCCCTTGAAGACTAATTTAGTGATGGGATATGATTGGATTTTATATGTTCCTTCTTAATTGTACTTTGGGAGTTTTGATAGACTATAATTTTGTGGTTTTGTACTTTGGAACAAGCTTTTATTGCATCTCTTTTCTTAATTTTCACTAATTCCACTTGTCATTTAAATGTTTTTATTATATGATAGAATCTTGCTATTATTTACCTACTAAAACCTTTAAATTCTCATTTACACAATTTTGCATCCGTGAGGCTTACGCCTCACACAGCCTCGAGGCTTACGCCTCGCCTCACGGACGAAAATCGCCTCAAGGCTTATTTACGCAATTTTAAACCTTGATACCAGTATATCGTCAAAAATACCAGCACAAACCTTCTCAAGTACTGCTGGAATACCCTGTTCATTAGAGACTAGAAAGTAGCTAGCGCATTAGTGAGGTCAAAAGATATTACAAAGAACTCATTGTGTCCCTCGTGTATCCTGAATGCTGTCTTGTAGGTGTCTCCTGGTCGCATTATGATTTAGTAGTACCTGGATTTCAAGTCGAATTTAGCGAATATGACATGTCCATGCAACCCATCTAATAGCTCATCAATGACCTGTATGAGAAACTTGTCTGGTGCAGTTTCCTTGTTCAGGGAATGGTAGTCTGCACAGAACCTCCAACTTTCATTCTTCTTCTTCACCAACAATATAAGACTAGAGAAAGGGTTCACACTGGCTTGATGATTTCAGCTTTAAGCATCTCCCGAATCTATCTCTCAATCTTATCCTTTTGGATCTGAGGGTAGTATTATGGCCAAACACTAATGGGGGAGACTTCTTCCTTCAGAATAATAGAGCGCTCATGCTCCCATGGGGGTTGTTATCCTTAGGGAAGCTGAACTATCGAAGTAGTGGCTGGACAATATTTGGAATGTCCTTTATCTCCCATGTCCCACCTCCCTCCAAGCTCTGGAGCCCCACCAAAAATCCCCCTTATTCCTCTTGTATGGCACGACCCATGATTTTTAAAGAAACCATTACTTTGGATGAGCTGGGGTCTCTCTTAATTACCCCTGTCCTTCCCTCCACCTTGATTTCCATTGCAAATGCCTTCCAGTTTACCTTGGTCTCCCCCAAGATTTTTAGCCACTTTGTTCCCAAAATTAAATCAATACTTCCTAACTCAATGAAAGAAATCCTCCTTGACGTGAATCCCCTATAGCTCTACCACCAAACCCTGAGGGATCCCTCTACTCTTCTCCACCTTTCTTGTGCCAATCATCACTCCAAAACATTCTGTGTCCAATAGTTTCAACCCAAATTTGTCAACCACCTGGTTCAATATAAAATTGTGTGTAACCCCACTGTCTACTAGGATCTCTACTATATCTCCTCTTATCTGTCCCCTCACCTTCATAGTGTGATTCGAGGTGAATCTCACTATAGAGTTGATACTTCAGCCACCTCTAAGTGAAAGGGTTTATTTTCCTCTACCTCCTCCTATACTGCCTCTGCCTCATCCACCTTCTCCGCATCACACACAAAGATTCTGCAAGGTATGATTTTTACATCTCTGTTTCAGTGTAAATTTTTTGTTGCATCTAAAAAATAGGCCCCTAGCCCTCTTGTCTTTTAGTTCAGTATAAGTCAGCCTCTTGAAGTTCCCTCCCTGTTGAACTCCATAACTTCCTCCTTTGGAGCCCTCCCTTTGAGCTGGCAAAGTCTGCACCCTAGGTGCCAGAAATGTGGTTGCCGTGTAGTAAGAACCTCCCAAACTAATCCCCTTACTACTATATAGTGAATTATTGTCCTCAATCAGCTAAGCCAATTCTATCATGTCCCCCAAATCACGGTGCCTTATCACCCGCACCGCTACTCTCAACTCGGATTTGAGGCCTTTCATGAAATTGCTCTCCAACACTGTCTCGTGTAACCTCCCTACATGTCCTAACAAAAGATCAAATCTTTCCCGATACTGCATCACAATGCCTACTTGTGTCAATGCAAATAATTGCTCCTAGTAATTTCCATCCTGCTTGGCTCAAAAATGCTCCAACAAGCAATCCTTAAACTCCTACCACGAATGGATTAGGTACATGGTCTCCCTCCATTGGTACCATGCCAATGCCTTTCGCTCAAGACATAGAACTGCTCACCTTCAAACACCGGCTTTATCATCTTCTTGACCTTCAGATCTCCTCCGCCCCAATTTCTCCTTCCTCCCCTCATGCCTCCCATGAAGAGAGCATTGGGGTCTCTCCACGGTTCCCTCTCCTCCCTTTTCCTTTCGTATCCCCTTTTTCCTTCAAATTCTGGCAGCTTGTTCTATTCTTCCCATTGCCTCCCACCATATTCTCTATCCATCCCCCTTTTCGGTAGAGGCTCAAGGTGTGGGTCTCCCTCCTCTTCACCAAAATTTCCACTTCGTCGTCTTCCCTTGGCAGGTCATTTTCTGATTCCCCCTTGCTTCTGGCGGAGCCACTTTAGTTTGAAACTCCAACATCCGTTTCATCATCTCCTCTAGATTCCCAAACTTTTCTTTCATCACTGAAAAACACTCATTCAACAATCCCACATTTATTCGTAGCTACCCTACTTCCCCCTCAATCTTTCCTTTTAACGCCTTAACTTCTCTCCCGACCATCGGTCCCAAGAAATTGTTCTGATATCAATTTGTTAGGACTTGAACACCAAAATCAGTGAACAAACAATAAATTTCAGCAGACCAAATAGATTTTCTTGTTAAGAAAGCAAACACGAACAAGCAAGATACAATGGTCCTCTTTCTAGAGGACCTTCTCTCCCAAACTCTAGACGTTGCTAGAATTCCTCATAAAAATAGTTTAATAACAAGAACACTCAAAATCAGCATCAAGAAAAAAGAAATATAACCAAAAGGCCTAATATATTTTTCCCTATTTTCCCCCCAAAGCCTGAATTAATTCTCCCCCCAAACTGAATTTAGTCTATATTTTCCCTCCACATTCTCCTTTAACAAGTGATCCACTTTTTTGATTCTCCTCTCTTTCCATATCCCCTTCTAGGTTGGCAGCTGGCCCCTCACCTGGGCCCACCATTTGGGCTGGCTGTAATGAATGGACCAGCTTAGCCAGTCCATCATATTCTTCTCTTTTCTCTACCCTATCCCCTTAGGATTTTGATTGCATTCTCTGTCCTGTCTTCCTTTAAACTGTATTCTTTGACTTAGAATTGGAGGTCATGAAATTTCTGCTTTTTCTTTTGGTTTCTTGTTTACCATGCTCACAAGTTTTTCATGCATGAAAATTTTCAAGCTTTCTTTTGTGTTTGGTACCTCCTGGATCATGCCGTTCATATGAAATATTATTTGCTCTGTGATATGCAGGAGATGTAACTTCTTTAGCCATACTTCCTTCTGAAATGGAAGTGGAAGCTCATTTCATTGCAAAGGAGGATGGTGTCATTGCGGGGATTGCCCTTGCGGAGATGATCTTTAATCAGGTGGATCCTTCATTGAAGGTATGACTTTCAACTTCTTCATAAAGGTATCATCATTTCCCTTTCAACTATTTTTCTATTGAGCACACTTAATGATTTTCTTTTTGCAGGTTGAGTGGTCTGTGAGGGATGGTAACTACATTAATAAAGGCATGCAATTTGGGAAAGTATGCGGTAAATTTCTCAATATGATTTTAATAGTGTTCTAGAAAGTGATTGTCGTTTAGATGGCGAGTTTGGAGCATTTATTAGGTGGTCTCTTCTGTGACTTAGTGATGAGGACATCGTCAGCAATTTCGACATGTGTTCCATCGGAGACACCGGAGATCGACGGCCACGATCAGGAGTTTTATTTATTTTGTCATGTTATGTAGTAATTTATTTTATTTTAGTTTTTCCAGTTTTACCTTTATGGGTATTTGGTCTCTATTGTTGCCCAAGGGGTATTTTAGTCTTTTGTTTCCGTTGTCATTTTGAGGCCTATATATATGGCCATTTCTTATGTAATGAAGGGATGAATGATCAATGAAAAGCTATGTTTGTTTCTACTTTTCTAGCATGAGTGCTTGAGAGGAAAGAGAGCTCAAGGGGAGCAATTCGCAAGGCCCACCAATCGTTGGAAGAGTCCGCGATTCGTGGTTAGATTTTTTTTCTTTATCTTCTCGTTCGTATTCGTATCCATCTCCTTCCCATCCACTACAAGAATAGCCCTCCCATCTCCACTTGCCGCCGCCCCCCTTGGAAGTCCACCGCCGGCCACATCCCCGGCCCCGGCCAACCACCCTGCCGTCGCACCCCCCCTCACCCGGCCACCCCATCTCCACCACATACCCAAATTTGAAATTTGAATTTTAAATTTCAAATTCTTTCCTAATTTGGAATTCCAAATTTGGAAAGTTTTCATGACGGTTCCTAATTTTAATTCCATTTGATATTGGAGTTTTAATCGCCTTGTGCCACATCACTAATTCAATATATATATATATTTAACAATCACTGCCAGATAATGACTGCTTTAATGTCTGTTTAGGGTTCCAAGAATTCTTGATTTAGTCAGATTCAATTGTTCAAGGACAGATCACTACGCCTTAGTTTACTGAAAATAAATAACCTCCTGAACATTTTGTAGTTGATATGTAAAGATTGATAAATTATTTAATAAAACGATGAATTATTTGAAATAGCTGAAGTCAACTTTGTTTTTTATTCTCCATCATGTACTGGCTCCATGCACTTTGATATCTCCCTCCTCTCTTACAGAACTCTTTGTTTCACTGAAGGTCATGGCTGATGCTGCATATCCTGCATGCATTTTAGAGACAAGAAAAACTGCACCAGGTCTACGCTTGGTGGATAAGTGGGCGGTCTTCTCCAGTTCTCCTTCTTGTGTACCTTTAATAACTTTGCTTGTTTTACTGTATTCACTGAGCTGTGTTATGACAGGTACTAATAGGCGGAGGAAAAAACCATAGAATGGGCTTGTTTGACATGGTGATGATTAAAGATAATCATGTATCAATAGCTGGAGGTGTTGCAAATGCTTTGAAATCCGTGGATTCATTCTTGGAAAAAAAGAATCTTAAGATGCCTGTTGAGGTACATTTTCAGAAAACATCTTTTTGGTGCTGCATATTCTTCAATATTCTTGAGTAAATACTTTATTTTGTTCTGGCCATCCTATACAATTACTTCAAAACATTTTGATAATTGGTTTTCTTGCTTTTGCAGTCTGTTTTCCAAGTACTTGCTCACTTTTGGACAAAGCCATGTTTAAGACAGTACTAATATATCCACATCATTAACTATTAAGCAGTTTAGCATTTTTCTGTAGTTAATAAATCAATGTTTTCTATGTCCGATGCTTGGTTTTTCCATAATCTTCGCATCTTTAATGCAGCACCTCGTGCAGCGATGGTAGTTTCCTGAAGGTTTTTAGGCTTTAATGTATAGATATTTTGGTTGGGAATGCATATGAAACTTTTTAACATATTCATTTACGCTTAACTTCTTATTCATGTATTTCAACATTTTAGCATTTTTGTACCCTTTTTTTTTCTGTGTACACCATCTTTATTGATGACAGTTGGCTTCCTAATTTCTCATAATAAAATGGTCCTTTTTTGGTATGTTGAGGGAGTGAATATTGAACTTTTTAACATATTCATTTACGCTTAACTTCTCATTCATGTATTTCAACATTTTAGCATTTTTTACCCTTATTTTCTTGTGAACTCCATCTTTATTGATAGCAGTTGGCTTCCTAATTTCTCTTAATCAAATACTCCTTATTTGGTTTGTTGAGGGGCTATTTTCCTATCTGGATTTTCATGGTTTAGGTTGAGACAAGGACAATGGAAGAAGTTAAAGAGGTACTAAACTATGCTAGCCAAACCAAGTGCTCATTAACTCGAATAATGCTGGACAATATGGTGATTCCCCTGCCTAATGGGGATGTTGATGTAACCATGCTTAAAGAAGCCGTTGAAATGATTGATGGAAGATTTGAGACTGAGGTATGTAGTGATACTTGAGGTGATTTCTTTTCTAGTTGTAGTTTCTACTCAAAGCAACCATGCAATATTGTATATGAGATTCTGCAAAATACGTGATTTGAATTTGTTCATCTACCTTCAGCAACTGAAAATTATTTCATCCACCTCTTTTTAAAACAAGTATTTTTCTTGAAATGCTTTTTAAAGTATGTTCTTCTATACCTTCATGCAAAACATCTGTTGACCTCCTTATTTGTTTCATAAGATAACTCGTGGGACATTAATAAACAATAGATGATGGATGCTACGTCGCATGATTTCAGCTTGACATGTTGCTCTCATATTAGAATATTCAAAATATCTACCGTTTCATTAAAAAAATACAATGTTGGTGTATTCGTGGCATCTTGGTTATCGAGAAAGACACTGACAACTCGATTTGATCATGTACGATTGAAATGATGAGCAACGGATGTGGGATCACACAAATCCTATTTGAAGCACATCATCCAAAATGAAAATCACTCAAAACCTTGCCTGTTTCACAAAACAAATTGGGTCGACAAATCTGAAATGTCTCAAAAATATGCAAAAAAGAACCCTTGTGTCACTAAATGGGAGTTTTAAGGAAGAAAATTATTTTACAAGGATTAATAAACAACATAATAAAGTATATTATAGTTGGATTAAAAATAAATGAAGTAGAGTTAGCTTTGAAAAGATGTATAAAGGTAAACTTTTAGGTCCAAATGAAATAGTTATTGTGCTTTGGAGAGTTATGAGAGAGATTACAATAATTTTACTAACAAATCCTTTTGGAATATCAAATGATTAGAAAAGAAGCATTTTGTTAATAACATTTAAGAAAAAATATATCATTTAAGATTGTACCATGGAGGAATCAAACTTATATAATGAAAGTTATGTGAGAGAGTGATGTGTAACATTAATATGAAGGTGGGATAAAAAGGTCAAGTTAAAATTTTGACGCTCTTGCATTACTTTTAGAATATAATCTTCAAATTTAAAAAGAGTCATCTAAATCATAAATTTTTATTTATAAATATCTTTCATTTTTTTCCTTCATTTCAAAAGAAAATTTTGATACATATGATATTTTTGCAACAAATAATTGACGTTATCTTTCTGTTGCATACAAATTCTTTTCTTTCACCTGTAAAAGTTAGAGGAACTTTTCCTGAATATAATTATCAACAAATAAGAGTGAATCAAACACTTTAGTTGCTAATTATATATCTAAATCATCGTAATTCTAAAATTAGAAAATAGTTTGCATGCAAATCTTCATATATAAATCATAATACATGACTTTATCATGGGCAGTAAATAAAAATGTATTTGCAATTCTCTCAGTGGTGATATAAGAAAATTGTTTTTTTTTTTGTTATTTTAATATCTTAACTTGTCTTATAATATACCTGTCATAGAACTATAGAAGCATTGCTTAATTTATATTATTAAAGACACATTATCTCATTAATTGTTTCAACATAAGCCTTGAAGGTAGGTCAATGTTTAAAATTGCGTAATCGGGTATTGAGGCGTTTTTCGTTCGTGAGGTGAGGCATAAGCCTTAAGGCGTTTTGAGGCATAAGCCTCAAAATCAAAAGATTGCGTAAACATAAAATGATAAATTTCTATATACTAATGAGTAAAAAATATAAAACATAAAAAGGCACAATATATGAAGTGAAATCAAAATATACAAATAATAAGATAATATGAAACATAGTTCAACTCAAATTCTATATTTTCCAAATCACAATATTCTTTTCATTAACATATAATTCAAAAAATAAATAGTAATGACATATCATATAAGAACTCATAAGTCATCAACACTGTCATTACTAAGGGGGTCTTTATGATGAACTGCTCTCTCCCCTTCCTCCTCTCCTATAGAGTCTCATGTCTCCCAATGCACTCATGAAGAAAACTTTATACAAAGCATGCACTCATGAAGAAGCATACTAACACTAACAACTATTACTAAAGATGATTAATACAATAATATGACGGGCAGTCGGGGGTCCAAGGGGGTGCTGCCCCCTGGCATGTACCGAGCATATATCTAGCAGGGTCGAGCATGTACCTAGCGATACCGAGCATGTACCTAGTGGTACCAAGCATTGTTGTACCGAGTGAACATTTTTTTTAATTTTAAGAGGCGGACGCCTCAAAAACATGAGGCGAGGATGCGCGCCTCAGTGAACTTGAGGTGTACGCCTCAATGCCAGCTCTCATTGCGTAGGCTTTGAGGCTTAAAAGTTTATATTGCGCTGAGGCGCGTCTTGAGGCGCGCCTCTTATTGCGCAATTTTAAACCATGGGGTAGGTTATGTTTTCTCTTTTTTTTCATGAATGTGGGTACATTGAGTACCCAATTAGCATCAGGAGGTGATTCCATCATTTAACATATGCAAACATTTACTTTGTATAATATATTCTTTTATATTATTCTCATAATGTATTTACTTCAATTGTATCTTTTGCTTATCATTTCATAGAACAATCGTGTGAGATTCAACTATGAAGAGAGATGGATGATATTCATATCAATATAAGGATTAAAATATATATATGAGGATGAAAAGAGGTGATTCCCTCACAATTTATGATGTTGGTGCAGATGGATCTATGCCTACTGAGTGATCAGATATGCAAATTATAGAAGATTCTATTGGAATAACAAAGAAATTGCTACCTTCATCTGGTATAGGAGGTGGCGTAAAAAGGAAGTCTACGACATCTGCTATTGATCAAAATATCCGTTAGTGTATTTGTTTGATGGCTAATAGTGTGAATGAAGTTGCTAATGCTATCAAGAGTTCAATAACATCTCCAAAACAAATTCGAAATATGTATACTGAACTGATGTTTGAGTTAACAAATATTCCTGGCTTCTCAGAATAATAGGTTGATACGATATATGATAATTTATAAAAAAATCCCACACTGATACCATCTTTTCTTTCAGAACCTACAGATTCTAAGGCTAGATGGAAGCGTAAAGAGCTAGGAAACTGATTTAAGCTGTTGAAGCTTGACATATCTGTTAAGTTGTTATCACTATAAACTATTTCGTGTTAATTTGTTGTAATTATAACTACGAACAATAGGTATATTTTTATCTTTTTTTTTTTAATTTTACATTTTCATTAATGTTGTTTACATGTTATAAATGGGAATCATGTGATTTATTGATTTCTGATCGAAGTCAATTGCTTTTATTGCTAAATTAAACAAAGAAAATAGTTTGAAAATTTAATTTTCTGCAATTATTTTGTAAAAACATTACCTAAAAAATAAAAATTTTAAATTTTAAAAGAATTTAAAATTAAAATTTCTCTCTATCACAAGTATATTTCCGTCTATTGCAACACACTGCTAAATTAATACATAGCAGAATTTTATATCTTATAGTAAAAAAAAAATTATAATGAGATCGTGCAATAAATGAATGTACTGATTTTATTTTATAACACCAAATAATACTAATAAATTTAAATTCGCTGCTTTTATAATATAATAGTTTTAATGCCAAAATAAATTATTAAAAAAAATGAGTTTACTTTACTCTGGTCTGGATATACCTAACAAAACAAGGGAAACAATTCTCCTACGTTTATTTTGCAGACAAGCAAATAGACTCAAAGTATTCAGAATGCACTACATTTACTTTACATTGCATTTACTTTACACTGCATTTCTTTTTCAAGCAACCAAAAAGCCCCTTAGTGATTCAGAGATGTACAATTAAAGGTTAAAAAAATATGCCCATTAGATGAGTAGATAAAATTTAATGGTAGAGGATGATCATGAAAGCGAAGTGGTAGATCTAGGGTTACATGAATAGAGGAAGTTCAAAATATTTTGTGGAAAATATGTTTAACACCTAAATCACATTCAATAAGAACCAATGGAAAATTAGGATTTGTCAAAGACGACCACAAATAATTGGGATAAACTTAATGGTGATGATGCTGAGCTTTGTGTATTGTGTGTATACCATGTACCGTTAGATTAGATTTGATATGAATTGTTAACCATCCACAACCAACCCATGTTTTTATCTATGATCTATTCGACACAAGGACTATATTTCCTGGCAATGCATCCATGCTATTTAAGGTTTGGTATGGCTACCTAAAGTTTTATTAATGATCACCATCAACAGAAAAAGCAGCAGTTGGATTCTGACCTTAGTTATGTGTGCATTGCTTTGAGACTACAATATCATTTACTACTGTTTAGAGCTGCATTGTTGATGACCATTTATGCCATTACTTGACAAGTAGTAGTAGTAGGCATGAAAACGATATTGTAGGATTATGCAAATGATAAACCGTCATCCCTCTTGGGCATGCATGTGCATTTGTGTGTTCATTCTTATTTTTTGATATTACACTCTTTATTTCTACATGCTTTGCTTGGTTAATCATTATGCTTACAATTGTATGCATATTTTAATGATGAAGTCATGGTAGATACAATCCAGCATCTGTTTGACTTTAGTTACCTTGAATATATGATCCATTAGAAGATTTCACCAGTTCAGCTTCTTCCTGGCAGGGAAGGTCTTATGCTTTCTAGACACAAGTTTTAGGCTACGTAATTTGTTCTTTTGTTGATTCTATAATCTCTTGATATAGGATGTCAGGTCACCTATTGACTGTTTCCCTATAAAAGAATGTTTTATAGTTTCCATTTCCAATCCAATCCTTGGAACTATTTCTGAGCTTGTTCGCAATCATTTAAGAAAAACTTGTCATATAGGAGTTTCATGGACCCACTCTCCGGTTTTGATGCCTTTATGAATGCTGAATTTTGACAATATTTGAATTTCAACCGTTGATTGCAGGCTTCTGGAAATGTTTCGCTTGAAACTGTGAAGAAAATTGGAGAAACTGGTGTCACCTACATTTCTAGGTATGCCTCTCTAATCATTTGGCAGAGTGAAATCTGGCCTGCATGATCTAAGCAAAGGCATAAATGAATGTTTATTATGTTATGTTGCCTTCCCTTTATGCTTCTGCATAGTCTTGTTAAAGTATTAAAATGCTATGATATATTTACCTAACAGGTTAATGTTCTGCAATACATCTAAAGATCGATTGGTTTTAGTTTATCAAAGATACTGGTCTTTTCCCAAGGAAACTTGTTTAGTTTACTTACATCATTAATAATAATCTATGATTGCTCTAGGACAGTTTCAAGATTTGTGTGATGCATTTTGGGAGTAAAAACAACAAAGTAGATAAGTAGAAACTAAAGGAACATAGGTAGGGGCTGATTTTTTTATTTCTTTTTCAATAGTAACGAAAGATACAATTGATTTACTATTCAAGATATAGATAAACTTTCCCACAAACCCTAGCCACTGCTAGGAACCCTAAACAAACCCTAGAATAATTTCAACAAACAAAATACTAGCCCTAGCCCACCTTTCCTCATAAATAGCCCCGATACATAATAAGCATAATTAAACATTTCCTTAACAAGTTAAAAACTTCCTAAACATTCCCCCTTTGATTTTAGTTCCTTGCATAATGAATTATAGCTTTCTTGAGCCCCACAAGGGGGCCTGAAATCTCCCTTGGTTCTGCCTCTGGTTTCGCCCATCCCCTGGACTGGTTCAGCTCCTGCTGGATTGGCTGGCTAGATTGGTTCGGGCTCCCCTCTCTGCCTATCTTATAGTATCAATACTTACTGCCCCCATCCCCCCACTAGACGTACATTGTCCTCAAGGTGAAAGGATGAGAACTATCTCCTGATTATCTCGTATGGCTTCCATGTGGTTTCGTACTGTGGAAAATCCTTACCCAATTGATTAGTATTTCCTGTCTCAAAGAGCTGTCAACTGTGGCTCATCTATCTTCCTTTATGGTGCATCTATGACTTTGTTCTCCAGTCCTGGGCGATAACCGGATCTCAAAATCATATCCAAATAACTTTGATAACCACCTCTAATGCTCGTCAATCATCATCCTTTGCTCCAACAGAAACTTCAAACTCCTCTGGTATGTTCTAATGATAAAGTGTCGCCCCAACAAATAATGTCGCCACTTTTGATGGCTAAGACAATCTCCATAAACTCCTACTCGCATATGGACTTAAGCCTTACCTTGGTTTTGAGTACTTTACTGAAATAAGCAATGGGCTGATGATCCTGCATGAGTCTTGCCTTTAGTCCATATTCTGATGCATTTGTCTCCACCACAAATGGTTTGCTGAAGTCACGAAGTGCTAATATTAGCACACTGGTCATGTTTCTTCAATTGTTTGAAGGCCTGTATTGCTGCTTCTCCCCAGTTGAAATTGTCGTTCTTCAGCTACTCCATAAGTAGCCATGTTGTCATGTCATACCCCCATACAAACTTTTGGTAGTACCCTATGAGACCCAAGAACTCTCTCAATTCCTTTAAGTATTTAGGCAAAGGCCAATCCAACATAGCCTCAATCTTGTACTATATGCTACCCCTACTATGCTTATCATATGTCCTAGGTACTCCATCTGTGGCTATGTGAAGAAATATTTCTTCATATTTGCATACAGCTGGTGCTCTCCCAAAGTCTCCAGTACAGTCCTCAAGTGACCCACATGCTCTGCCTCGGTATGACTGTAGATCAGGATTTCATAAAAAAATATCATTACAAATTTCTTGAGGTAGGTTAAAAACCTTGTTCATAAGGGATTGAAAAGTGGCGGGCACATTAGTAAGGTCGAAAGGCATCACCAAAAATTTGAAGCTGGTACATGAGTCATGAAAGCTGTCTTGTGCACATCCTTCGATTTCATTTTGATTTGGTGGTACCTTGACTTTAGGTCAATCTTCAAGAAGATGACCACCCCAAGTAGCTCATCCAATAACTCATCAATCATGGGAATACAAAATTTGTTCAGCACGATTTTCTTGTTTAAGGTCCTACAATCCATGCAAAACCTCCAATAGCCATCTTTCTTTTTTACTCGCAAAACTGAGTTGGAAAAAGGGCTCTAATGGGCTTGATAATTTCTCCCTCCAACATCTCTCTCTCTATCTCATTCTTCTAAATTTATAGGTACTGGTACGGTCAGACACTAATAAGAGAAACCCTCTCCTTCAAGTTAATGGCGTGCTCGTGCTCCCGGGGTGGTGGTAATCCGCTAGGTTGATGCAAAATATCAGGAAAATGCTGTAGAAGCTGATGTACACACTCAGGGACGTTGGTTGGCTTTGAATCTTTGACCTCCTTGCTCTACAACACCAAGTAAGCCCAGATCTGCTTCCTATATCACATTGATCATGATTTTGAGTGAAACTATTATTCTGTACAGGCTAACATCTCCTCGCAGCACCACCCTCTTCTCTTCCACCTGAATTCATAGTTAAAGATTTTCAGTCCACCTTCGTTTCATGAGTGCTCTCCAAATCGAAGGGATGAAAATCCTTCACAATTTGTATGTCCTAGAGTGTTAGCACCAACCTCTTGCAAATCCCTCTACTCCTCTCCGCCTTCCTTATTCCCATCATGACTCCAAAGCTCCCTCTATCTGTCAATACCAAACCCAACTAGTCCACGACTTGATTTGAGATGAAGTTATAAGTAGCCCTGCTCTTCTCTCTTACACTATTCTCTCACTCTTAAAACAAAAGAGAAAGACTAGTTAATAACACAAAGGGATGCCACCCTTCAAAAAAACGAGAAAGAAAATTGTTCAGTCTGCCTAGAAAGACTGTGGCGCCAGTTTGGAGCGCTGCGGTACTCAAGATTGTCATCATGATGTAATGGCGCGCAAACGCACAGTATTGTGGCATCACAGCGCTGTAGTATCACACAGCGTTGCGACTTTGAATCTATATTGCTGCGGCTCTTCGCTCTATATCTTTTCTCCCAGCAAACTCTGCAGCACCAGGGTACTTGGGAACACAACTCCAAGGCGCTTAGGTACACATAACGCCAAAGTGCTGAATTGCTAATTGACAATCTCTTTCCCTTTCCCAGATCATGAAAACTAGAAGAAAAATCACAGTGAGCTTAAACAGCTTATCAGGCCATACATATTGATCTAAATTTTCAAATATTTTTTTATTAATTATTTTATTGAATATTTAAAAACAGTTAAATGCAATCTAATAAATCATTGTTTGTACTGAGAAAGGGAATAAAAGCACACCATTTATTCAATTATTTATATAACAATACTGTGCAGATAAACATACTGAGCAGATAAATTATATAACATTTTATATTAAAAAATAGTTCATATCATATATCCTGGTCTTAGAGATTATCTTAAGGATTTTGTCACTTATATGACCCTTTTGTACTTACAACTTAAGAACATAGCTTATTGGCACCAAAATATTCTCGGATACAGATCTTAAAGGATTATGGCTCTTTATAACTCCCAACAAATGTTTTTCAATCATATGAGTATATATTTTATCACATTGTAACAGTTAAAGCATAATTTAACACATGTCAGAATTGCACAATGTTCTATAACGGTAGATAACTAAACTTTCTATTTAGCAAATTTTCACAATGTCAGAAAATAATCAAATTATCAAGAATTGTGTAAAAGATAATTTCAAACATTTTGTTATTCTACAACATTATTTTCTTGCGTCCAGATTATTTTCTGTTCAATTAAAATTGCACAATCGAAAGTTACATATTTTTCGATAATGGAAATATAAATTTAATTAGAAAATTCAATAAAACTTCATATTTTTTAAAAAATTGAGATAAGCATAATGTGAATTACCTCTATCCGGACAACTTTTCCAACTAGACCGACTGCTGAAAATGATCTAAAATGGCTCAAAATGCAATTTTTCCTCTCAAATCTTGCTCCTCTCTTCTACTCGCCTACTGCTCAAGTGAAATGGCAATGGAATAGTGGAAAATATTATATTTAAAGAGTTCATAATGGTCTAGTGCTGCGGTGCTCAATTGGAGCTCTATGGCACTCATAAACCAGAGAGCATGGCACTGCAATGTTACTATTTGACATTTTGACTGAGTGCAGCAGCGAGGTGCTCCAAAAGTGACATACTTAGATTTTGCTGAAATTGACATCAAACACTTGGAAGTCATTCTAAAGCACACCCAAACATTTTCATGCACTAAAACACTCTAAAAAACATACAGATGGTTGTAAAGCTCAAAAGTTTATATCTTTACCTTTTTCAAATCGGGTCAGAAGGAGTAGAATGGAATGTTGAACCTGGAGGTGTCACATAGGGACTCTTGCTGTGTAGCAATTGGATTGATAGAGAAAACTCAGTGCCCATGAAATAGAGCAACAATGAAGCAAGCACTTTGTGCTGGTTGAAGGTGGGGTAGCTTGAGTGGTGTTTTGGTGTTCTCTCTCTCTCTCTCTCTTAGTTGAAGCAATGATGTTACAGGCATATTATCACCATTATACCAATGATGGTAAAAATATTTGAGTCACTTTTCATATATCTTCCCATGGTAATTGTGGCAACAGTGGCACAAGCACTTAAATGCACCGATCACTCCAGTCATACCAAGCCAAGCTCATTTCCATGAGGATTGTTAAGGCTTAAGGACATAAAAAGAGATGCTATTATCGGTCAACTTTTACAAGGAGGAACATCAACACTAGTCGGGGATTCCAAGAATTATTAGAAGAAGGATTGAGCGAGATCATAAAAGCAAAGAAGGAATACCATCATCTTCAAAATCAAAGTCACTAAATATATCAGCACCCTTTGCTGGACAATCACAACAAATTTTGCAGGCATGAACACTATAGAAATGACCATTGTATGGTCTGACCACTCGGCTGACCCGTTATCTTATATTTTGTCTATTTTTTACTTTTCAAATGATTGAGTTCTCTTAAATGGGTGAGTTATTATAGCTTTGGATTTGATCTTTGTTTGTTTCTGACTTAGTGAGTTAAGATTTTAGGCTATATAGCTTATATGAAAGTTTGTAACAATCAAAGGCTTTACCAGTCATCTGTGAAAATGAATGGTTAGTTTCGAAATTGTCTTACTATTGCCCATCATGTGCTTCTCTTGCAGCGGGGCATTGACACATTCAGTGAAGGCGCTTGACATTTCTCTCAAGATTGATACTGATCTCGCCCTCCATGTAGCAAGGCGTACAAATCGAGCATGATCATCATTGCAAATCTGATTGGTAGTTGCTACATTTGCAAGAATAAAAAACTGAAGCTTTTGAGGCTGCGGCCTTGCTATCGTAGACTCTCAGAGCATAAATATCACTAATTTTATGATTAAATTTGCTCAACGTCCAATTTATTTGGATCCATCATCACCGCACTGATCAGATGTATTTTATCCTTTGTATGAGCGTAACACTTGACTATTAGGATCACCGTCACGCTAGCTTTCAACACCTCAACTACGAGGTTGATTTGTATGGGGCGGAAAAGTTCACTCAATTCGAAGTTCTAGCTACATTACATAGCTCAACATGGCATCCAATTCAAAACATAGATAAAACATCGTAGTAATGGCAAGGTTGGTTCAACAAAAGATTTTTTTTTTTTTTTTTATCAAAATTTGTACGTGGATGACATTTGATTTTATTAGCACCTAATCTTTTGGTAAGAGCTATTGAATTTGGTGAGACTTCACGAGTATGAAGAATGAAAGAGAAATATGATTATAAAGTATGATAAAAAATATCGGTGTCCAAAAATATAGAGTGAGGGTGAGTCCTTTTTTTTTTTTTTGATAGAAGCATAAATGCATTAAGGAAAAGAGAACGAATCAAAAGAACTACAAAGATGATTCTTCCTTCATCATTTGAACAAATGAAGGAGGAATCTTATCCAAGGTAATATCTTCCCAAATAAAACTACTAAGAAGTCCATAACTAGCAAACAAGTCAGCTAGTTTATTTCCTTCTCTATTAATGCATTTAAAAACAACATAATTAAATTTATTGAAAAAGTTTAACTCATCTGAATTCTTGAAGCCAAGATCCTCCACATTTTGAATCACCTTAATGACGTTATAGTTGTCGCTCTCAATAATGGCTCCCTTGTACTTGAACATCCAATCTTTTAAAATGCTCTTCAATGTTTTGATAGCTAGAATTTCCAATTGGTAAATGTCCCAATGGATAGAAAACTCCCCAACAGCCAATAAGAATCTTCCTTTATGATCTCTAATAATACCTCCAACTCCCGCTCTATAAGAAGAACAAAGAGAAGCATCTACATTTATTTTTAACCAACCGGTTGGTGGGGGATGCCAAACATTCAACAGTCTACAAGACTGATTAACACCCCATAGTTCCGGTAATTGATTAAAAATCACGTTGGAATAAGTAGATTGGCAGATTGCTTAAACAGCAATTGAATTGGCACTTCCATTGATTTTCTCATGAATCAATTTGTTTCTAGCCTTTCAAGAAAAGTATATCACATTGAAGTAGAGATTAAGAATCATAACATATTATTTATTAATCTTTTGAATCCACCTGCAGATTTCTTGGAGATTGCTGAAGACGGGTAAACCAAAGCCCCATTTGTTTAATAAATTGATCACCTCCTTGATTTTAATACACCCACAAAGAATATGCTCCAAATCTTTCAATATCGAGAGAACATCTTGGGCAATTGTAGTTCTCTAACATCCCCCTGTGATTAAGAAATTTGTTCGTTGGTAAAGCACATTTAAATAATCTCCATATGAAAGTTTGAACTCTTGGATTGATTTTAGCCTTTTTTTATCCAATAGAAAGGTTCCCAATCCTCTTCTTGTTGCTGAAATTCAGAGATCATCCCTGGAATCGTTTTCCCCAATCCTTGAAAAATAAGTTCTCTTACATCTTCATTCTAGTCAGGATTGATTTTGATCTTAAGAATAAGATCAACCAGATCATTACCGAAATTCTGCTTCAGAATTTCCACATTCCGGCTTCCTTCTTCGATGTATCTGTTTAGCAGATTATCTCCTTCATCTTGAGGAACAATAAAAGTCGGCCATTCATTGATTCTTTTGTCAAGTATCCACTTATCCTTGAATACATTGATTGAATTCCCATTAGCTATTATCCATCTTAAAAATGGATCCAGCACCTTACCTCCATTGCAAAGTATTTTCCAAGAGGAAGAAGTTATCTTATTACCTGAATTTTCTAACTTTACACCGTACTTGGGAGCCAAAGTTTTATGTAGTAAGGAATCCTTGTTATTCAAAAATCTCCAAGATAATCTAGCTCTGAGAGGAGCTACCCTTGTTGTTGAAGAAAATAATCCCCAACCTCCTTTTTTCATTGGCTTACACAAATTCTCCCAACTGATATAATGCAGTCTAGGATTTCCACCAGATTTCTTCCAAAGGAAACTTCTACACATTTTGTCTATCTCTTTTAGAACTTGTACCGGTACCAAAGAATGGGAGCTGAAATAGTTTGGGATGGTTAGGATTACTGTTTTGATCAGAATTAACTTCCCTGCTAAGGATAATGACTTTGATCCCCAAATGTTAAGAAATCTGAAAACTTTCTCAATAAGAAAATAAAAATCAGTTGTCATCATCCTTCTCAACGCCATTTTAATTCCAAGGTAAAAAAATTCCTTAACTTGTTTAAACCCCATTATCCTGGACCGTTGTTTCTTCTTCCTTATACTAGCATTGCTTCCAAAGAGAATACATGATTTTTCTGTATTGATCTTCTGCCCTGTCCACAAGCTAAAATCGGATAGAATGAATTTTACTTCAAAAACTGCTTTTCTTGATGCTTCTGAGAATACCATAACATCATCAACAAACAGTAAATGGGAAATACGTGGACCATTAGAGCTTAAACCAAATCCAACAGTACAATTTGAGAAAGCATTTGTGAGAAGTTGGGAGCAAAGGGTGAATAACATGGGGGACAAAGGGCAACCCTGACAAAATCCACTTTCAGCCTTAATCCATCTTGATAACTTTCCATTTATAATAATAGAAAATCTGGGATTTAAAACACATTCTAGAATTAAATTTGAGAACATATCTGGAAAGTTAAAGTACTTCAAAACCTGTTTTAGAGTTTTCCAACTCATGGAATCATATGCTTGCTCCATGTCTACTTTGTACGCCACCATCCCTTTGTTGCCTTGGAGTACCTGAACTTATGAAACATCTCTTGCGCAATAAGAATATGGTCCGAAATGGACCTTCCTCTGATAAATGTAGCCTGCTCATCCGAGATAAGCATAGGGATGACCGACATAAGCCTGTTCAAGATTACTTTTGCAGCAACTTTATAAACTGAGTTGCAAAGGCTTATAGGCCTGTAATTAGATGGCAACAAAGGATTAGAAACCTTTGGAATGAGAACCACAAGAGTGTCTTTCCAATTACAATCCATGCTCCCTTGATTGAAGAAATGATTTAAAGCTTTCACAAAGTCTTCATTGATAATCTTCCAATAGAATTTGATGAATGAGAATGTAACTCCATCACTACCTGGATCTATATTTTTGCCCAGATTTTGTATAACCAAATCAATTTCCTCAACTGTGAATTCTCTGGATAAAGAATTTATTTCCTCCTGTTTCAAAATATTCTTCTGTTTAGGCCATTCTTCCAAGCGACAATTCCTCTGTTTCACTTTGAGTTGAAAAACTGCATGAAGATATCTTCAATGATGCTTTGATCCTCAACAACCAGCCCATCTTCACTTTTTATTTTCAAGATTCGGTTGCCAATTCTCCTAGCATTAGCAAATAGATGATAGTAATTTGAATTACAATCTTCCTCCTCCATCCATTTTACTTTAGCTCTTTGTTTCCACCAACTACACAACCGAGCCATAGTAGTGTTAAGTTCAATAACCTTTGATTTCATATACCATCATTCTTCCTCAGAAAGACATCCAGCTTCGACTTATGCAGTTTGTAGCTTAATGATTTCCTCCATTAAACTATTTTTATGATCATTGAGGTTCTTCAATTTAGCCTTACTCCAAAAGAACAGCGACTTCAGAGTTCTTTTACATTTTGCATTCAATATTTGGGGATAATCACCTTTGCAATTTTTGCTCCATTCCCTCTTCACCACAGCAAAAGAAGCCGGGTAGGATGCCCAAACATCCTCAAAAATAATACTCCTCTTCTTAAAAGAACTTGAATTACATAAATTGAGAACCAAAGGGCTATGATCTGATGCAATTCTAGCGAGATGTCTAACAGTTAATTGAGAGAAATGATTCAAAGCAAAAGAATTAAGGAAGCACCTGTCGAGCCTTTCTAAAATCCTTGCACCTCCAGATTTATTGTTACACCATGTAAACCTTTGGCCAATAAAACCAATCTCATGCAAATCATTATTAGTTATGAAAGCTTCCATTTCTTTAGCTCCTTGAGAAAAGAGGAATTTCTTACCTCCTCTTTTGTCTTCTTTAGAAGTGAGGCAGTTGAAGTCTCCTCCTACTACCATAGGATGGTCCTCCACCAAGTAAAACTCAATTAACTCCCATAGCTCTCTTCTTTTGTTTAAGTCTTTGCTCCCATAGACTGAAGCTATTCTCCACTTGCATTTATTGTTTATGGTTAAATTTCCAATAAGACATTGGGATGAAGAACCAACCAAGGAATAATCAACAATGTTAGAGTTCCAAAGAACAATAATCCCTCCAGATAAACCATTAGATGGGACCATAGCATATTCCCATCCATCTCCCATAATCTTCTTCACATCTCTAATGTTAAAATCAGAGATTTTGGTTTCAAGTAATCCCATAAAAACAACATTATGTAACTTAACAATTTCTTTCATATATAGAGAAGCACTACTCTTCTTTGCTCCTCTACAATTCCAAAAAACTAAGGAATTCATGGAAGAAGAACAGTGGGATCTGCTCCCACCTTACCTTTCACATCCAACTCCAACCTTCTACTCCTTGTGATATTGCTGTGATTGGACCAAGATCTTTCAACTGCTTAGATTTCTTTTTCTTCATACGGCTGGAATCTTCTCCTTTCTCCTTAGAGGATTAGCTAACAGCTTCAGTTTGTATTAGATCTTCCTTCTTCTCATTTTGATTCCCATTTGACACCTTTCCAGTATCAATTTCATTAGAGATCTCTCCTTCTTCTAATAGATCATTCAATAGATCAAATTTATTATCAATAACAAGAATATTAGAATCATTCCTTTTAAAATTCTGCTGCACTTCATTGTTGACATCATAACCGTCTTCAGGAATCAATTGCTTGCCTTCCTTTTGAACTTTATCAGAGTTCAATATTGAATCTTCTATGTAATTTCCCTTGACTTCCTCCTTCTTATTATCTGTTGCTTTCCTCCATATAGTCTTCTTCACTGGAGTGCGAGTATAACCTCTAGATTGATTCACTTTCCTTCCTCGGTTGACTATCATCCATGGCCCATAGCTATATGAGTTTGTTTGTTCCTTCCCATCTGCAACTTTAGCTACTTCCCTGGCTTTATCTGGAACAGTATTAGCAATTTCCTTATCACTGAATTTTGCATTGCCATCTCCTTCACCGCAGTGTTCCTTCGTGTGCCCAATGAATCCACTAAAGCAAACATTTGGGATACGTTTATATTCTATCTTTTGATAGAATTTCCCATTAGCTCCCTCCACCCATACTCCTACAGGAAGCTTTTTATCAAGCTAAATTCGGACACACACCCTTCCGAATTCTCTGCAACCCCATTGAAACATGTTTCCATCAAGGAGAATTGGTTTTCCAACCATAGAAGCTATTCTGCAAATATTCAAGTTGTCCCAACATTGCAAAGGAAGGCTAGGAAGCCTAATCCAAATTGGTGATGACAAGCCTTTAAGAGAATTTGGATCAAAGTTTTGAGTCCACTTGTCCATTCCAACAATTTTACCATTCACAAACCAAGGCCCATTTGCGAGAACCAAATCCATGCTCTGTTTTTCCTGGAATGAACAAAAAAACCAGCCCCTGCTGAGCATGGTTAGATGAAATTTACCATATTGATTCCACTGCCTTCTCAGTTCATTACTATTAATAGAAATAGGAGCTTCTCCACTAAAGATTTTAATAACCAAAGAGTTGCTAGTCTTTTGGTATTTTCCTCCTCATTCTTCTCATGCAATTTCACAGTCATCCGATCTTCAGACAAATAGTCACCGAGTTGAAGATCTTCAACTGATATATTTTCTCTTCTCTTCCAAGCATTATTTTGTCCCGCATCAGCATTTCGTTCAACAAAATGAACGTCTTGAATATCTTTTCCCGAATCCGCTGAATCCACTTCTCGAACTTTCAGTAGATCACAGTACAGAACTTTGTTTCCAGTCTCTGGAGCCAGGACTCCATTCACATTATCCACTCCGTCTTTTTGAGTTGCAGTTTCATTCACTTCATTGCATACTAAATCACCTTTGCCCATAGAAAACGCCTTGTCCACTTCATTCCGGACTGAATTTCCATTATCAGGAATTATCTTCTCAATAGGGAGTAATTTGGAAGGAGAAGCTTCATACCCGTTACCAAACATAAAATCAGATGGAGATTTACTCTTCTTGACCTCATTTGATAAAATCACATTCTTTCCTTTACCAAATATTACCGGTTCCTTCTTCTCCAGATAACCTCCTTCATTAATGACCAAGCTTGTACCTCTACCTTTGCTTTTGTTATTCAAATTTGAATTCCTGTCACCAAAAGCCAGGGGAGATGACGTGAAAGCTCTAGTCGAAGACTTTGCGGAAGAACACCGATCATCATGTTTAACTCCGGCCGCTGGAAGCCGGCAAACATCTGCCTCCATTCGTTTCCCGTGAAAACCGCGGAAAACAAAATTTGAAAAATACCGTTGAAATGCCTAACTTCTTCAAAGCTTCGTTCTCTAGCTTCTCTCTCTAACTTCAACAAATGTTCTCTAACCCATACATAAGGTAATTATCAGAGTTTATGGGGTCACATTTATAGACTTATGAGGAGAAAACTTCTTGTAGTTCTATCGGGAGATGTTTGTGGTGACTTAACGACTTGGATGATGGTGAGTGGCCTTAGGAGGTTGATTTCCATCAAGGTGATTGTCTCTCTCACGCGCTTGGAAGAATTTGTATAAGTTCTTAGATGCTGCATATACTTGGGATGACTTCTCGACCTCATGTTTCCTGTTGGCCAGTGACGGGTGGGTGATATGACCGTGTTGTCTGAATTCTCTTTCTAGAACTTTCTAGATGCTTGTAAAATATTTACATGAATATATAAGTGTATACAATATTTTTCTTAAATTATTAAGAAAAGGTGGGTTAATAGAAATTTTTTTGAAACTCCATGTTTAACATAAATGAGAAGAATGATTTTATTTATTATATATGATTCAATAAATATAATATATATATATATATATTATAATTTGATAAGAAATACTACGATCAACAACAGCCTAAAGTAAGTAGGACGTATTTTGCTTTTAGGGCCTAGAATTTCTAACAAATGAGTAAAGTACAAAATTTACACAGCTCATCTTAGCCTGTTGGTTGAAAGCTTAGGCTTCCAACTAAGAGGTATTGAGTTCGAGTCTTTGTGTATGCGTTGTGTGTGTGAGTTTGCCTTAAATGGCCTAAATGTCCAAAAAAAAAATACAAAATTTATCTAAGTTTTGAAGAAGACAGAAAGGCTAAAATCCGTGGTCTTGGGTAGGGAGTTTTCCTATCTTGCACAACAGGAGGAAGCTTGGTTAAGGAACGCGAGGCGGCATAGCTGGTGGGCGGCCACGTGGTCGACGAAAGGGAGGTCGAAAGTGGTTTCTAGGTGCGAGCACGACCTGTATGCTCCTGCACAATTGACATGCAACTATTGACCAATCATTACTAAAAAAAAATTTTGTTGATATTATTATTATCATATATTATTTTTAACTATTTCACACTTATAACTGTTCTTGTACACCTGTAAATACCTGCTCAGGTAGGAGTATCAAATTGGATATTCGGGTTGGGTTCAGTTCGAACACATAACTGATCAAGCCTAATTGGGTTGACCTGAATGCGTTTATCTAAACGGGTCCAAGAGTTGAACGTGGACCCATATCCAACCCTGATCGATATGACCCACCAAAACCAATATTATTTTTGTAGTATTTTTTTTTTCTAAAATGTATTTTTTAGAAGGATAAGAACTGATTAGCAAAGTGGGCAAATTGTAATAAAACATCAAATAATAAAATTAAAATGGATTAATTCTTTACAAGATGAAAAATTGAAAATATATTACAAAATACATACATCATTAGTTCATTACAAAAATCAACTTTGTACAATACTGCAATATCTAAAATTTAGAATTGGAAATAAAATAAATCAAATTTATTCAACCTTCACCAACAAAACAACTTACATCTGCTTTGAACTTACAATAGAAAAATAAAAAAAAAAACCCACAATTTGGCAAAGAATCATCGGTTCCAAGCCTCCAAAAATGATGTAGTGCACTATGCACTATTACAAGCCTGCCAACACATAGCTGTAACTAAAGATCAACAAAACAACCACAAAGAGGTCACAACCACAGGCTCAGGATGAACCTAACAAAGAACCATCAACTGCAACAATTTCAAAAAATGTGCCCTCCAAAGTTACAAATTGGCAATGTGGATTTGATCAATTTAGTATTTATTAAGTTAAATATTATATACTCAAAAAAAAAAAAAAAAAACCCTTTCACCAAACTGTAACCTAGTTGCATCTAAATTTCTATGCTTTTAGTAGTTTATAACTTCACAAGGTTCTTCATCACAGCTCAATTAAGAACTAATCAACCTCGACAATTATACCTCATAACCAAAAGAATAGCAGACCGCAAAGGCTGAAAGCCCACATTTCACAAGGCAGAAGTTAAGTTAAATAAGCAACAAGATAGTAGGTCCATAAAAAACATAAAGCAGAAAAGATAAAAGAAAACAGGCCCATAGAAAAGAAATGACAATTGAAAAATTGGATCTATAATTCTAAAAGAGTATTTGACTGTATAACACAATTAATATTCGATTGCATAACATAATTATAAAAGAAGCTATTTGGAAGGACTGATCTATATGAGTATCCAACTGCATAACAGAAATAAATGTTTAGCGATAGAGCACTCCATAAAACTAGTCATTTCTATTACCACTCAAGGCTCAAGCTAAAATTAGAAAAGAAATAGAAAAAAAAAAAAATCCTTTTTCACTCTGAGAGCAGCAAGCCCACTCAAGATGTCAACACTCAACAACCAATTGCATAACACAATCAGCAGTCGATTATATAACACAATTCATAAGATAATTTGATAATAACAACAATCATTTCTAATACGCTCAATAACTTGAGAATCCATTATAAGATGCAAAATACATAAGTAAGAAGTTCCACACCATTTCAACTTAATGTTTAAGATGATATACTCATTGGGGCATTCAATTTTGCAATTTCATTTCAGTCAAAATCTAAGCTCATGATGTTATTTATTACTACACCAATCTTCAGTGCATACCAATGCTTCGACAATATCATGTTTCAATGTACTTCAATATTGATCAAGAAGTCTACCGCTATTGCTAAAAACATTTTTAGATGCCATAGTAGAGATTGGAATGCACAAAACATCATGAGACATGCTCGAGACCTGAAGAAATCTGTATTAATTAACTTTCCAAAACTGCAAAATATCTAACTCATTTTTCCTATCCAACTTAGGTTCATCCATATATATTTCAAGGTCTCACTTTCTTAGTATTGTTACCTCTAC